AATTGTAGAATTCTGTAATCTCTTGCCATTTAAATGTAATATACTGCTTTTCTAACCTTCCCACCAAAGAGGTCATGTTCACATTTTCCCACATCATATACCATCTGCCAATTTTTTGTCCCATTACTCAACCTATTTGCATACTTTTTCAGTATGTATACGTTCATTGCTGTAATCACACGGCAGTTTGTGGGACCTTGGAATGTGCATATTGAATGCTGCAATCCATCAATGACTGCATTCCAAAAAAATAAAAGCTTTCAAGTTATGAAAGGTGCAATATAAAAGCAATTTGTTTCAGAGATAGTAGGAACTGCAGATGCTGGAGAATCTGAGATAACAAGGTGTAGAGCTGGATGAACACAGCAGGCCAAGCAGCATGAGAGGAGCAAGAAAGAACTCCCTTCCCCTCCCCCATTTCTGAAGAGGGGTCTAGGCCCAAAACATCAGCTTTCCTGCTCCTCTGATGCTGCTTGGCCTGCTGTGTTCATCTGCTGTGTTCTTCCTATCATTTCCCAAACCATCCACAACCTCATCACTTCAGGTGACCTCCCACCCAGAGCCTCCAACCTCATCGTTCCCCAACCCCGCACCGCCCGTTTCTATCTCCTTCCCAAAATCCACAAACCTGACTGCCCTGGTCGACCCATTGTCTTCGCCTGCTCCTGCCCCACCGAACTTATCTCCACGTATCTCGACTCCATTTTCTCCCCCTTGGTCCAGGAACTCCCTACCTACGTCCGTGACACTACCCACGCCCACCACTTCCTCCAGAACTTCCAATTCCCTGATCCCCAACACCTCATCTTTACCATGGACTTCCAGTCCCTATACACCTGCATTCCCCATACAGATGGCCTAAAGGCCCTCCGCTTCTTCCTGTCCTGCAGGCCCAACTAGTCCCCCTCCACTGACACCCTCATCCGCTTAGCCGAACTCGTCCTCAGCCTCAACAACTTCTCTTTCAATTCCTCCCACTTCCGACAGACAAAGGGGGTGGCCATGGGTACCCGCATGGGCCCAAGCTATGCCTGCCTCTTTGTAGGTTACGTGGAACAATCCCTCTTCTGTAGCTACTCTGGCCCTAAACCCCACCTCTAACTCCGTTACATCGATGACTGTGTCGGCACCGCCTCGTGCTCCCATGAGGAGCTCGAACAGTTCATCCACTTCACTAAGACCTTCCACCCCAGCCTTAAGTTCACCTGGACCATCTTTGATACCTCTCTCTCCTTCCTGGGCCTCTCTGTCTCCATCTCTGGCATCCACCGGGAAACCGATATCCATTTCAAGCCCACCGACTCCCACAGCTACCTAGAATACACCTCCTCTCACCCACCTTCCTGCAAAAAGGCCATCACCTGTTCCCAATTCCTTCGCCTCCGCTGCATCTGCTCCCGAGATGAGGCATTCCACTCCCGGACATTCCAGATGTCCTCGTTTTTCAAGGACCACAACTTCCCCTCCACAGTGGTCGAAAATGCCCTCGACCGCATCTCTCGCATTTCCCACATTTCCCGCAACTCATCCCTCACATCCCCTACCCGCAATAACATCCAAAACAGAATCCTCCTCGTCCTCACGTACCACCCCACCAACCTCCGAATCCAACGCATCATCCTCCGACACTTCCGCCATCTGCAATCTGACCCCATCACCAAAGACATTTTTCCCTTCCCACCCTTATCTGCTTTCCGGAGGGACCACTCTCTCTGTGACTCCCTTATCTGCTCCACACTCTCCTCCAGCGCCACCTCACCAGGGACTTTTCCCTGCAACCGCAGGAAGTGCTTCACCTGCCCCTACACCTCCCCCTTCACCCCCATCCCAGGCCCCAAGAAGACCTTCCACATCAAACAGATGTTCACCTACACATCTGCTAATGTGGTATACTGTACCCGCTGTTCCCGTTGTGGCCTCCTCTATATCGGGGAAACCAAATGGAGGCTTGGGGATCGCTTTGCAGAACACCTACGCTCGGTTCACAACAAACAACTACACCTCCCAGTCACGAACTATTTCAACTCCCCCTCCCACTCCTTGGATGACATGTCTATCCTGGGCCTCCTGCATTGCCACAATGATGCCACCCGAAAGCTGCAGGAACAGCAACTCATATTCTGCTTGGGAACCCTGCGGCCCAAGGGTATCAATGTGGACTTCACAAGCTTCAAAATCTCCCCTCCCCCGACCGCATCCCAAAACCAGCCCAGCACGTCCCCGCCTCCCTAACCATTCCTCCCACCTCAAGCCCCACCCCCATCTCCTACCCACTAACCTCATCCCGCTTCCTTGACCTGTCCGTCCTCCCTGGACTGACCTATCTCCTCCCTACCTCCCCACCTACACTCACCTTTACTGGCTCCGTCCCTGCCTCTTTGACCTGTCTGTCTCCTCTCCACCTATCTTCTCCTTTATCCATCTTCTATCAGCCTCCCCCTCTCTCCCTATTTATTTCAGAATCCCCTTCCCCTCCCCCATTTCTGGAGAAGGGTCTCCACCCAAAACGTCAGCTTTCCTGCTCCTCTGATGCTGCTTGGCCTGCTGTGTTCATCCAGCTCTATACCTTGTTAAGGCAGATTAATACCTGAATAGGTTTAAATTGGGAGAGGGAAGTGTTCAGTGGGACCTGGGTGTCCTGGTGCACCAGTCGCTGAAGGTAAGCATGCAGGTGCAGCAGGCGCTAAAGAAGGCAAATGGTATGTTGGCCTTCATTGTGAGAGGTTTCAAGTACAGGAGCAGGGATATGTTGTTGCAGTTATACAGGGCCTTGGTGAGGCCACACCTCGAATATTGTGTTCAATTTTGGTCTCCTTTTCTGAGGAAGGATGCTCTTGCTCTCAAGAGAGTGCAGCAAAGGCTTACCAGGCTAATTCCAGGGCTGGCTGGTCTGACGTATGAGGAGAGATTGACTAGGCTGGGATTGTTTTCACTAGAGTCAAGACAAATGAGGCAGGATCTCATAGAGACTTATAAAATTCTAACAGGACTGGATGGGGTAGATGCAGGAAGGATGTTCCTGATGGTTGGTGTGTCCAGAACCAGGGGTCACAGTCCGAGGATTCGGGGTAGACAATTTAGGAGGGAGATGAGGAAACATTTCTTCACTAGAGTGGTGAGCCTGTGGAATTTATTACTACAGGAAGTAGTTCATGCCAAAACATTGAATGTATTCAAGAGGCAGCTAGATACAGCACTTGGGGTGAATGGGATCAAAGGTTATTGGGAGAAAGCAGGATTAGGCTATTGAGTTGGACGATCAGCCATGATCGTGAAGAATGGTGGAACACGCTTGAAGGGCTGAATGGCCTCCTCCTGCTCCTATCTTCTATGTTTTTATGTTTTCTATGTATGTACATAAGTCATTAAATATGGCAGGACAATTAGACAGAGTTGTTAATAAAGCATACCCCTTTGCCAGCTTCATTTATAAGGCCATTCAAGTACAAAAGCAGGGAGATCGTGATAAACCTATATAAGACATTGGTTAGACCTCGGCTGGAATACTGTATACAGTTTTGGGTGTCACACTGTCGGAAGGTTGTGAATGCCATGGAAAGAGTGCAAGGCAGTTTTAGGAGGATGTTTCCAGGAATGAGACACATCAGTTATGAGAAAATATTACAACAGTTGGGAGTGTTTTCTTTGGAGAAGAGACATTTAAGAGGATCTTTGATAGAAGTTTTCAACTTCATGAGGGGTCTGGACAGAGTGGTTCTGGAGAAACTTCCCTATATATACACAGATTGAGAATTAGAGGACACAGTTTTAAAGCGTTTTACAAAAGAAGCAAATGTAAAAACTTTTTTCACAGTGTTTACTTACGGAAGAAATTCTTTGCCTGGGAGTTGGGTGGGGGCAGATTCAACTGAGGCATTCAAGAGGGCTTTGGAAGATTATTTAAATTGAAATGAAGAGCAGTGTAACAGGGAAACATCAGAAGATTAGCACTATGTTAAAACGCTCGGAGTGCCAGAACAGACATAATGGGCCAAATAACCTCCTTTTACGCTGTAAAAATTCTGTAATTCATTCATAAACCAATGGAGACATGCTTATATGTCAGGGGTGTCTATCCTAGGCAGCCATTTAGCAAAGTAAGTGAAATTATTCATAGTTTAAACTTTTTAAACTTTAAACTAAGGTATTCAAAACCAGTAAGATTAAAAAAAAGACTCTGTTTGGCACAGTTTTGAAAAACCTGATATTCCAACATTGCTACAAATACAGCTTGAGATTGACGGGAGCACTTTCATATAAATGGTGCAGTCCTTGCAGTGCTGAAGGTGAGATTCTACTGCTCCTAGGGAATCAGTCATTGTCACAGGCTGGTCTGCATGGTCGTTCCTCAGCAACCAAAGTCACCCTTGCTCAGTTGTGTGCTGGTATCAGTATTTCTGTGTTGTTACATCATGTAAAAAGGACAGAATTCACACCAGGTGCAATTCTTATGATTACAGAAATTGTTCTACTTTAAGCAGTTTTGTAATAGAACCAAAATATCACATTTCTAACTTGGAATTGGGACTTTTTTTTAGCAATCAAATTATGTTCAAAAAAATTAAATTTTCTGAAAGAGATTTGGGTGTCACTGACTAGGTCAGCACTTATTGCCCTGGAAAAGGTGGTAGTGAACTATTTTCTTGAGCTACTGCAGTTTTTGGTGTACAGGGACACTCAGTGTTGTTGAAGGATAATGATGTATTGTATCTTAATGCCAAGTTGAACCTCATTTTCCAGCCATAAAGTATGTTCTAACAGCTAAGGGTAAAAAAACTGGTGAATTATGACTGTCAAAGAACCATGCTTTTCAAGGTAGTTCATTTTTGCTACACCAGTATCATGGAACATACAATGCAAAATAAATGGTATAGATTTAGAAGTCAAGGATATGATCAATGGGATCTTTGCAGTGATTTTATTATACAAACATTAAACACAGTTAAAGAAAACAGTCACAAATTAATGTTAATAGTCAATTTTAATTGTTTGTTCACTAGGTCATCCTAGATATTTCAACCAGCTTTCAACTGGGTTAGATATGGTTGGACTTGCTGCTGATTGGCTTACCTCCACTGCTAATACTAACATGTAAGTGATCTTTGCTTCTCATTGAAAATTGTATAAATTGTCCTTGTTTTGTATTACAAGTCAGTGACTAACTCTAGATCTCCTTAGCCTGTGACGTATTTGAAGTCAGTTACTCTGTGCAATGTGTATACTCAGTGAAATCATTTTCATTACATCAGGAAATAAAAGCACATATGTTGAATGAGGACTGGAACCCCCTCACCCTCCAACCTCACCCCAACAATCAGGGACAGGCACAATATGCCATTAGCGAAGAATAGGGGAATTTGGAGATTGCACTACTGGAGGAAATGGACCAGGTGACTAAACTACAAAATGAGTTTTTGAATTGAATGCACCGAGGAAGCAGGAGCCATTTTAGTTCCATGGCAAACAAGACTTGATCCACCTAAAACAACAGTAATTTACTTATAGCTCCTTTATCATAAATTATCTGAAGGTGCTTCACAGAAGCATTGTCAAACAAAACCTGACACTGAACCACAGGAAGAGATATCAGAGCAGAATTGCCAAAAACATGTTCAAAGATGTGAGTTGTGAGGAGTATCAAAGAGTGGGAAAGGGAGCCAAAAAGATAGAGAGGGTGAGGAAGTCAATCCCTAAATTTACAGCCTTGGCAATTGAAGGCAAGGATATCATATTTGGAGTGATTAAATTGGGTTTGCACAAGAGATTGGAATTAAGTGAACGCAACCTAGCCTTGTATTTATATAGCATAGCTAACAATATAAAACATCTGAAGGGCACTTCACAGAAGTATTAGAATGGAAAACACGGCACTGAACCACATAAAGAGATATTAGGGCAATTGACTAAAGCTTTGATAAAAAGAGGTAGATTTTAAGAAATGTCTTAAAAGTGGAAAGCGTGTGTGTGAGAGGGAGAGAAGAATACAGAGGGAATCTCAGAGTTTAGGGTCTAGATAGCTGAAGGCATGGTCACCAATAGTGGAACAATAATTACAATCAGAAATACTCAAAAGGTTGCAGTTAGAGAAGTGTAGATGTCTTGGAGGATTGTGCTGATGGAGGAGATTACAGAGATAAGATGAACAACGTCAGTTCATGGATCTGTGGTTGAAAGCACCTGCAGGTGCCAGATACGAGGTTTCAAATAGTACAAGCTCAGACCATTGTCAGGGAATAGGATTGAATCAGTGGTGAGAGAATAGCGTTTCCAATATTCCGACGAAATTCATCATCCAGCAGCCACTGAGTTTCTCCAGTGCTTTCTGTTTTTATCTCAGAATCAGTTACAGGATGAGAGAGGTAGTGTTGAAAGTTACATTCGAGAAGTAAAAAGAATTAAATGCTCCCAGGTGCCTTTGGCATTCTTGAAGTTCTGGTGGAGTTCCAATTAAAGCTGCTTGTTCTTCTGGAAATAGTCTCTTTTAAACTGCAATTAGCCTTTTCTGGATTGGGTGCTGTGATGTGTGAAGTTCATCTTATTTTTAATTTCTTTCTCTCTATGATGTATTCCCACATGTCACATAGTCAAGGTCCAAGCTTGAAAAAAAAACTGTTGAGAGAGTTGGTGTCATTATTCTTTATGATACTGCCCTCCAAAACAAACAAGGTCATAATCATAGCTTTTCATGAAGGGAATTCCAGATACATAATATCTGGCTACTTGCGCACAATGAGAGCAGCCCATGTTTCAAACTCTCATTGTCAAAACTATCAACATGCCTTTGAAACGTAGGGAGTTTACAGCACACTTTTTTCTACTGGGTTTTGGTGAGTTTCTTCGTCTCAGCCCATTCCTGCTAATGAGATGTCTGTTGCTTACTGTCAATTTTAAAAATTCAAATCACTTCCATAGCAATGTTTTTTGTGCACCTATTTTGTAAATCCCTGTAGAATTTGGCCACTTTGAAGGTCAGGTGACTTTTGCACTTTTTAAAAATACAGTACTGACTCATTTGAAACTGTTTTCTTTTGCTCAAAGATCTCAGGTATGAAATCAGTCAATGGAATTATTACTATCTGTTCATATATTAAAATATCGCGACAAGGATTTTTTTCCAAACAATGGGTAATGATGACAGATTTAAAGGTGAGCAGGGCAGTACATAAAGAGAGAGAATCATTACCAGTATTGCTAAAGTAGGGAGTAGGAAGGGAAATTGAGCACTTATACCAGGTTGACAGTATTAGGGAGAGTGAAATTGTATTTGTCTCCCATACAACACAATGAACATCATAAAGACCTTGGAGAGATGAGTAGACAGGTCTGCCTGTACTGAGAGATGATCTGGAATAACAATGAGCTAATCTTAGCTTTCACAGATTGTGGAATAAGGCAGGAGTGTAATGGGAAAAGGATGTTTTGATGGTGGCTGACCTGAGTATTATGAGCATGTTTGGTTTAATGTAAGATATTTTGAAAAAACAATTCCCACATTTTCCTGAGCTGCATATTTATTATTAATGATTACATTTCTATAATTTTTGATTGTCACCTTTAAATAAGTAAATGTTTAACTGTCTGGCCTTTCTGCTCAACTCATTATAGCACTGATTTCAAAGGCATTTATTAATTTGAGATATTCAAAGAATTGTTATAGGGAGAAGTCCTTATTCATGTTTTCTTTACAAAACATGTCCTGCTTTTATGTAAGTTCGATGCCACAATTGACAACTCCGGTTCCACCAGCAGCACTCTAGTAAAATTGTAGAACACAGAAAGCAGCTATTTCAATCATCAAGTTTTCATCATTGAATCAGCCTGCCTAACCTCACAGTCCCACTCCATCAAAGGAGAAGCAATGGCACAGTGGTATTATCACTGCAATTGGTGGCAATATCAAAGTCCAGAGACCCCGGTAATGTTCTGTGCATTGGTTCAAATCCTATGATAGCATACCCATAAAAATCTGAAAATTGTAATATCTCCACTTGCCTGGACAAAGCAGCCAACTTGATTGGCATATATCCACAAGCATTCAGTCTCTCTGAAAGCAATGCTATTTAGCAGCAATGTGCACCATCTACAAGATGTGCTTCATAAATTCAGGGCTCCTTAGATACCAGCTTCATGACTAGTACCACCTAGATGGACAAGACAGCAGACATACGGGAAACACCTTCACCTACACGTTCAACTCCAAGTCACTCAGCGTCCTGACTTTGAAATATATCACTATTCCTTCAGAGTAGCTGGGTCAAAATCCTCAGATTCCTTCTCTAATTGCATCATAGTCTACCTACAACATACGGACTTCAACAGTTCAAGAAGGTATATAACCAGCACTATCTCAAAGGTAACTAGGGATAGGTAATAATTGTTGGCTCAGCAGCGGCAGCTACATCCCATGAATGAATAAACAATAAAGAAATCTTCCAATTTCCCTTTTACTATTCCTGTGCACATTTTGCGGCATTATGTTGATTTGCGTTTTCAGCGGGTTTTTTTGCCTCCATTAATCCATCCAGTGGTCCATTCCTAATGCAATGAACTGCCTAATCTGTTATAAGTATACCTTTTATAAATTTTAAGCTGTGCCTTGTTATGCTATTCTCAATAGTTAATATGTGTAATACTTGGATTTTCTTTTTCCATATAGAGTCATAGGGTTATGTTTTCATCGTTGGTTTGAAAGTATGAGTAATCCCATTTATCACTATCTTATTCCCAAATGCAAAGCATTCTTGTGATCTCTTGGTCTTTCAGTCTTTGCAATGAGTTGTACTTGGATCTGCCTCCATCCAAGGCAGGCCATAAACAAAAATAGAAGTCAATGGATGTCAAAGATAGCAGTTAGAAAAGCCTGCCGCTATCTACTAGAATATTGACCATATATTTGTGGTTTTTAGGCCCTTTGCCCCCTATCCAGATGACTTCATCATATTTCCTTAATCTACACTGACATAGCAATGATGTTGTACAGATTTCATAAACCACATAATACGACTGGAAAGTTTGTTTTTTTGTTTCATGAACATTTCAACCCTCATTAGGCTGAATTGATTAATGAATCTTAAAGTTCAGTTAGGCATCAGTAATGAGACCATCTGGCAAAACATATGTTTGCCTATTTGTCCAACTTGTGTTGTTGACACAACTGCCAAACTTTGTCCTTTTGAATGGATGGCTGAGGTCCAAGACTCACCAATGGATTCATTCCCGTAGTAGTTTTCTACAGAGCTGTGAGGGGGATTGCTAGATTTGTTTGGTAGTTTTATGAGTTTGTATAGGTTTAACTTTCTTAGAAGCAATTTTTCCATTTTTCATTTAGGTAATGATAAATAAAGTATAATTATCAATGAGTGTTTCAATGGCTGAATTAGATTGGCAATTTTATAAACTTGCAAGAGGGATTTCTTTTCAGCAAAGTTTTGAACAGCTGATTTCTTTTCATGAACAATTCAAAGACTTAGTATTATTATCTGGCTTGCAAAGAGAATTGCTGAGAAAACTCAGAACTGGTAGTTCTGAAGAATGGTCACTGGACTTGAAACATTAACTCTGCTATCTGTCCATAAATGCTGCCAGACCTGCTGAATTTTCCCAGCAATTTCTGATTTTGTTTCTGATTTTCAGCATCTGCAGTTCTTTTGTTTATTATCAGGCTCATTGGTTCTGTACAGAGTGGGTATTTGACAAATCTTTCAAAGGCCTTTTCATTTCTTTTTTTTAAAAATGCTTTATTTGCGAATGTCGTAATTCTTCTTTCTTTTTGGCTTTCTAACACTCTTGCAGATATATTGAGATTTTTATTTTGTTTGTTCAAACTGCCCTTTTATTTTGCCAAGTGCCTGACATTGGCTTCTGTTCAAGTGAAAAATTCTAACTTCTATGAACTCCCTTACTGCATTATACTGGTTTTATAGCTTCTTTACCTCCCATTCAACTCATGTTTATTGGTGATCTAAAATTCTGTTTGTCGGTTTTCCCTCCAAGCAATGTCCCTTTTCAACTTGTTATTGTCAATTTATTATTTCATGTCAGGCTCTTTTCCCTTCTTACATTGAAATTAATTAGATTCTACTTGCTGCTTC